AACTAAAGATGTCTGGCTTAAAAAATACTTGGGTAAAAAATATAATACTACATTTGTGGCATGCTCTTTCAATTTTTATCTATATATTCAAGTAAGTTATTGATTCTCTTTTTTAATCTGTACATGCTTCCTGTGGTAGGACAATTTTAATAGTCTCTCTTCTCATTATGAAATCAAGGCTAATTTTTAACCTTTTACAAAAGTTGCAATTTCCCTAGATAAAACTATGTTTTAAGAAGGGATAAAATACTCTTACGAAGTCACTCTTTGTATTTGTTTGTTTATTTATTTATTTAAATTCTCACCCAAAAATATGTTCACTGACTTTACAGAAGGGAAAAGAGAGAAAGAGAGAAAAAAAAAATCATCAGTGTGAGAGAGAAACATCAATCAGTTTCCTCTCATACACTCCCCCACCGGGGACTAAATCCAGAACTTTTTGGTGTACAGGGTGATGCTCCAATTGGCCAAAGCTAGAAAGTCACTCTTTTTTTTTTTAATCCTTATCTGGGGACATATTTTTTCATTGCTTTTAGAGAATGGGGGAGGGAGAGACAGAGAAACATCACTGTGCAAGAGAAACATGGATTGGTTGCCTCCCGTAGGCACCTGGACTGGGGATTGGGCCTCACGCTCCCGGACCAGGGATCGGAGCTGCAGTCCTTCAGTCACAGGAGGACACTCCTACCAGCTGAGCCGCAGCCGCCAGGGCAGGAAGTCACTCTTGATGGCATTTCTTTTAGGGTAAGACTTGTTTCAGTACACTTACTGTTTCATTTTTAAAAAATTTTTGGAAGTCCTTTTATTAAGTGAGGAAGACTTCTGTCCTTCAAGCGACAATCTTCTAATTCAACTGGTTTACACACCCTAACATGTTCATACAAGGCTGGCAAAATTAGGTTTACAGTTGGGAGTACACAAAACACAGAGTTTATTCTTGTATTACAATGGGCTGCAGAGTGGATTTCCCCAGAAAATCGCAGAGCATATTCCCCACAAACTGTGATTGGGGGAAGGAGAAAGTGGATGACACAGCATTTAGGATACTTTGCACAACAATGGCAAGTTAATAGCCAAACCTTGGCTGAAGGGCAGCACCCCCGCCAAGGGTGAAAGGTGTACAGGACCAAAGAGCATATAGTGACTCCTGACATCGCCAGGAGAGGCAGATGCCCCTGTGTCACAGGGAACTCCTACTCCGACTAAAGATAGCAGCCAAAAGAAAGGAAAAGCTATGGGAGAACTGGCAAAAGTGGCATATCATAGGAGGAGCCATATATAAGGTGACATAGGAAGTTCCAGGCTGAGCACTTAAAATAAGGGCAGGCTGAGAGAGAAGAAGGGAGAAGAAGCCACATGGGAGGAAAGGGTGTAAAGAGAGTCCGCCACAAGAAACAGCAGTCATGCAGTTTGGAAGAGTGTAGAAAGGGCCCCGTCCACCATGAGGTCTAGTGTGTAAGAGGCAGCCGTGTGTAGGACAGGGTCTGCCACGAGAAGGAAGCCTCGTGGCTTGGAGTAAGAGCGGGCGCGCAGCACAGCTGATGGAGCTGTGCGAGGACCTGCCTAACCAAGCACAGATTTGTGGGAGATGCTTGGAGCTGCACTATGACCACAAATGTTGAACTGCAGACTTCTGCTTCTCTGAAGAACGTTCGGAGAAGCCACTCTCTTGGGACATGTGCCATCCTGGACTCTACCATCATCCAGTGAAATGCAGCATGTGTTTCCCTGAATCACTAAATGGAGGCTGAGAACAGCACGCCCCAGATCACGAAGGAGAGAGGATGGCGACTGAAACCCACAAGTGCTCGTTCCAGAGGGAATGGAGACCTGTTTGCACAGTCAGCTTAAGAACAGATAAGGACATGGGGAACTTCTGCACATGGTTTTGGCTTATAGCCTTTTGGGGAACAAGGGAAGTTCTGGGTCTCATGGGAGAACAGGGCTCTGGGGAGGAGTGCTCTCAGCACCCCACCCCCGCCCCAAGGTTGGAACTCTGTTAATAAAAGCCTGTTTCCTTCAACACTAATTGTTGGGTCATGTGGCAAGGCGCCACATGTCCAAGCCCTGGTTTCTTTGGTTATAGTACTATTATTTATTAATTATTATATTATTTATTTGTATTATACTTTTGTACTTACTTTTGCCTACCCTTGTATATTGTCTGTAAAGTACTCTACTTTAAACTAAAACTATTTACAGAAAGTGTAGGAGGAAAGCATGTGTCTGTTTTATTTCCCCTTCCCTCTCGCGACCCTGTATCAGGGCAGTCACACCAAGGAGAATGGAAGCAAGTGCAGGTCAGATAAACAGTGCGGTGTCCCTTGGGCCTTGTGGAAAGCCTGGCAGCAGGCATGCATTCAAAAGGCAATGTATTCAGGCCATAGGTGCTCAGAGCCACTTCTGTCAGGTAGGCATGGCGAAAACAGTCTCATCACTGGGGCTGGGAGAGGAGCAGAGGTGGGACGTGCGACTGTAACCAGACCCCTCACAATATACTTAAGTTGGGACTTAGGGTAGAAGAATTAGGTCAATGGCAGCAGTTCATAGTGTTGGGTGTTATTCAAGCAGAGATGGGGAACAAATGAGAGAGATCCAGGCCAGGTGTCCTGTGGACTGGAAAGTGCCGATTATTCTCCCAGGCTGAGCGATTGGGGTCAGGGTGAAGGCGCTAGCCAAACCGAACCCAGTACCGATATCTTCTGAGCCCGAGGTCAGTCCCAGCAGTACACGTCTGCCTTCCCCATCAATCAGGTAGATCGTGATGTGATCTACAGTTCAAATTTGTGCTAGGCAACACTTCTGCTAACCTCTGGGCACATGCGGAGTCGCCAAAGAACTCCCACGCTTGTTTGCAAATAGTTAATGGAAAGAGGAGAAAAAGTGAGAAGGCAGAATGAATAGCCAAGGAAAAAATGTATATACATGAACAACATAAAAACACATCATTTTACACACACAGAAAAAAACAAAGCTAAAAACCAGAGAGTGCAAAATTTAGCTACTTTGTTCCTGAGCAAAGCCAAATCATATTCTTGGAATAAGACAATGGGTAAAAATTTTAAGAGAATCTTCCCATCATACTTAGATTTTTAAAATAAAAATACACAATGTTGATATTATAATAAAATAATACACTCATAAATCCCTTGTAACAATGTAAGGTATCACAGTTTTTTGACTATCAATTTTTCAATAAGAATAAAAGCCTAGCCCTGGCCACATGGCTCAGTTGGTTGGAGTAACAGTCTGTGCACCAAGGGTTGTGGGTTCGATCCCCAGCTGGGGTGTGTGCAGGAGGGAGCCAGTCAATGTTTCCATCTCGAGTTGATGTTTCTTTCTCTCTCTCTCTCTTTTTCTCTCTCTCTGCTTTCCTCTCTCTCTCTGAAAGTCAATGGAAACATGTCCTCAGGTGACAATTAAGGAAAAAGAATTAAAGGCTATAAAAATTGTCATAGCCATTTGCCTAATAATATTCCTGTGCATTTATCATTAGTGGAGTAAATCCAAAGAAAAGCTGTCTGCGTAAAAATATTCACTGCAATATTATTAGTAATAGCAATGTTTTTAAAGTGTGGGCTGGAGACAAACTAAATATCCCAAAACAGAAGAATGATTAAGTAATTTAGATACAGCAACCCAGTAGATTCCATGAAGTCATTAGCAATCATAATTATGATATTTATGTATCAACATAAAAATGTTTATGATATAATTTTTAACCTTTATTAAATATTTCCAGATTGCCATTACAAGTAGGTAAAAATGCATACCCATCTCAAAGACCAAGAATAAATGGAGAGAAATAGACAGTTGATATGGATAGGAGCTGTTGAATGATTGGTGAAATCTTTTTCTTTTTTAAATTCTTTTCACTGGTTTGTTGTGTGTCCATTAAACAATTTCTGGGTTTGGCAGGATGAATTGTAGAAGCAGAAACAATGAAATGAAAGGATGAAGGCTCTTAATAAGAACCTTTGAAACTATTAATCGAACTTTTCTTTTCCTTTTATCTTCCTTCCTTGGTAGAGCTTCACAGTGGTCTACAAACATTCCCCTCCAAGTCTCTCCTTAAAGTGCCCTTCTCAGGACCAAAACCAGAACCACTAAGCCTGCCCCTGTTGGCGGTCTCCCATCTCTGGGGCTTCCTGTGACCTCCTATGCCCATGGCTTTCCCCCAGCTGCCCCGGCCTAGCCAACCATTCGTGGATCCAACAGAATCAAATGTAAAGAAAAGACAGCAGCACATTGCGTGGCCTGCTGACAAAAGCTGAGATTTCCCAGTACACAACAATCTACAATTAATAGGAGGCAATGCCACAAACAACAAAGAAGCTTCAAGGAACTGTGCTAAAATAATCCCTATTTTTTAACTACATGTACATTCTCTTCTACTCACCCACCCTACCTCTGTATTGTATTCAGAAATTCCTATAAAACCACCAGATTACAGAAAGACACTAATAGCTACCGCTTAGTGGGCAGGAAGGAGGTGTACGGAAGCTCAGCTGAGACCACAACCAGCCAGTGCAGGTCTTTCATGAGAACAGAAAACCTGTTCTTAGAACCAGGAGGAAATTCAATAGTCCCAGCCAGGTTACTTAATGGGTGTGTTTGTTTGTTATGAGGGGGTGACAGCACAAATGAAGTAGAAAACTTCAGGCCCTGTAAGATAATATACAAGAACTGATGGGTTTGAAGCACAGTAGAAAGTGCTAGTTCTACATGGTTTATGTTAAACCCTGTAATTCTCTATCTTCAGAAAATTTCCCCGTTCAAAGAGCATTCCTGAGAATGGCATGATAACATCCTTAAAGACTTAGTAAGAATTTTCTAGAAAACGAGCCCTAAACTTTACCTCCATCCTCCTGACAGTTCACAGTTCCTTTTGGAACCAGCATAATGCTTGGGCAGCAGAGGTTCAATGCCAGTTGAGTGTGGAGGCAGCAAGGAAGCCAAGTGTGCCTGTGCCTGTACATCTCTGACTACATGGGACTCACCTTCATTAGAGGCAACGTGATCTCTTCTGTCACAAGGGTTATTCCAGGAATTTCCTAGAGTGGGGGAGAAACAGGCCACAATATCAACTACCACAAGCTAAAAAGCCTTCAGGAAGTGTTTTCTGTGTAGACAGAAGCTGAGGGCAGCTTCCAGTTTTCTAACCTCTGCTTTAAATAAACGTTGGGGTTTATAAATAACAGTGAACACAGCCTATCTCTTTCCTCAGGAAGAAAAATATTATTGAAATTTACGATGGTAATAGCTGACACTGTCTCTAAAAGAAAGATTAATGAAGAAATACAGAGCAAATAGTATGTTGTTTACATATTTCCATTCACACTATGAGTGTAATAATGGGGAGGGGCCATTTTCCATGTTTTGTAATCCTTCCTCCCTCTTCCTCTCTTTCATTTCGGTGCACTACAGTTGGCCCCTCCTCCCTAGAAGGAACCATGATTAATGGGATTCTTGTATGACCTTAATAGAAAATGCTTCTGCACCTCATCCTCACTCATCATTTCAGAGCTAAGAGATCCCCATGAAGCTGAGGCCACTCTATCACCACAGCAGATGTGGAGGATGCACAAGTCACCTCAGCAAGTCCCAGTTTAACTTTTTGCTAATTAGTGAGCGTTCAAACACTTAAGTAACATCAAAATTGCTCTTTATTCATTGTTATTTTCAAAGTGTATTTCTGTGTGAATTAGGTATATCAGCTTTCAATTAGTCAATTCATCTTTCATTTCCTAAAGAAGTAAATAATATTTGAGAAAATAACCTGGAAGGTGTTATATAGAAATAAAACCTGACATGGATAGGACTTAAATATCCTGAATTTTATTGAATACAATATACCTGTGAAAAGGGAATGGCAACAATGTAGACATAAACTTCTAGAACATTCAAGCAACTGAGTTCTCCACTCGGAGAATAAAAAGCCTATGATAAAAATCTTCTGTGTGCTTCATAACATAGGACACTTCAAAAAAAACGCATTACAATTTTGCTATACCTGTAGGTTTTAAATAACATCTTAGAATAGGTATAACAAGTCTAATTGTTTACAGAGCATAACTCAAGATTATCAATGTGTAAGAGCACTGTATTTTCTAGTATCTTAAAAAATCTAATTCAACTATTTACAGAAATAATATGCCTCCATACAGATGTGTGAAATTAATGTTTTCTATTGTTACAAGTATTTACAAAGGGTGTAGCATTAAGAGCATTTGCAGATTAGAGAAAAGAAAAATAAGTAATTCGCTTTGTTGCTAAAGATAAGCATAAACTTACATAATTTCAGAATTAGAAGAAACTTTTAAGGTAACCTACTCTGACCACAAAAACTTTAAAGCAACATGGTAAGCCATAAAAGAAGCTTAGTACACAGGTGGTTATAACTTTGGGGGTTTTCATAGTGCACTTTTTGTAAGATGTCACTTTATATGTCCACAGTAGCTCCTCTGCCACACAAAGTCACGTGAAATACAAGAGTGAAGACTTGCCTGTCAAGCTGACGTACTCCATCTTGAAACACAACCCTAGCAACTCGAGGTCCTGTTCCTACCCCACCAAACTGAGGCCAACAGGACCAGACTGCAAGACTAAGGACGGGTGGTAAGCAGAGGAAGCTGAGATGTGCATTTCCTGACACTGGGTAGTTCAACCTGCAAACTTCCTGCCACATTACCACAGAGTCTGCACATATATTCACAAGGGTTCTTAAAACAGTGAGGACCTGAAAAGGAACAAGCTCAGGTCTTCCCCTCATAATTCTATAGTGACACATGAAAGTTTAATAATTCTAACAGTAAAAGACAAGAACGAAGGGACTTAAGCAAAACACTAACATTGTGCCTATCAAAAACTGAGATAGTAATCAAACACACCTGATACATCTTTTTTAAGGGCTGTATTTAAACAATCTAAATACAAAACGGCAAGTGTCACAATTTATCCTGGTATGTCTTTTCCTAGGTCCGTGTTATCTGAGTTAAATATATTTTTCTAAATGCCTTCTTGATACAAACCTCTGTCTCAAGACTAAGCATGTAGTTCTGACATCTGAATCTGAAAGGAGAGGAAGCAGAACTTTTTTCAGGGGAGGCCTGTACATGATTTTCACTTTCCGATCCAACAAAGTGCAGTTCATTGCATCACGTTCAAGAGAAAATGAACAATGCTTTAGCTCAGTACTCCCTAATTAAAATAGAGGAGGTCTGGACCAACAGGAAGAGAAGGTTAAATGAGTGAATTTGCTTAAGATTACTGACTGTTACTGATCATAAAGCTCTAGAGTTATTACAGACATTCTTTGTAAGCCTGGGAAAAGGGGCCATGAAGGTGCTAATCTACCAAGTAAAGAGAACCAGGCAGATTAACAGCAGTGGTCCAGCGTTCCTCATTTATAAAACCCTAAGAAATACTTTAATCCACTCTAGGTGCTAATAAAACTAAAATACCGTTTAAAGATGATAAAGGCTTAGCTCTGGTTGGTAGTAGAAAGAGTGACAAATATCCTACGCCATCTCCTCAATTCTCCTGTTTTATAAATACCTTTAGCCAACATCAGGGATTATTTTTCTGCCAGAAAACACCAATTCAGTTCCTTATCGGTCAAAATCAAAATGAAATCAAAACCTTGGTCACTGTTACAGAGATGACCTACAACTGACAATTGTGAGTCAATTTTAATTACATAAGGAACACAAAAGCATTAACTTACTGTATTCCAAGTGAGCACTGAAGAATATGGCAGAAGTGTATCCATGTTACTTGTCTCAGGGTATATGCTCCAATATGAAGAAGCTGAGCAGGGTTTTGGAAGAAAAAAATAGACATGGTTTAATAATAATCAGGCAGTGGACTGTTACTTTGCCAAAAATGAGAAAACAAAAGTTTTCATCCTCTAAATGCTATCCATTATAATTTTATCTAATGATTAAAATGTTCAGGTTCTGCTTTTGACAATGAGAATAAATTTTTTAAAAATTATTTGGCACTCATATCTGTCCAAATAGCATTATACTACTTCATATCAAATTGGCAAACACAAAACTGAGCTTAAGAAGCTACATTTTATAGGGAAAAAAATCATTGATGAGGTTATAGAATCAAAATCTTATCTTATATCTCATCAATCTCTGAACAGCCACAGCTTCTCACAAAACCACAAGAGAATGAAATTTAATTAGCTGCTGACTACAATAGAGCCAGGAGGGGGAAGCTCCCAGCCAGCATTTTGACAAGTTGAGGCATTAACAGTTTACTGTTTACCCGCAGGTAAAAGGGTTAAGGATGCAACATGAGCAACACCTACCAATTATAAATTCCTGAATGGGGTCAAATGAATAGCAGGCAGAGATATTCTCAGAAATCCACTGAATAATCTTTAAAAAATAAAGAGACAATTTGGTTAATATTTGAATCTACACCCTGTTCCCACTATCAAAGAAGTATAAAAAATATATATAAATCTTGTAAATTCTACATTTATTTTGGAATTGCCTAAGCATACACTCACTTCTATACTACCACAAGACACATAATGGAAGACTGTATGGGTAAAACAGTATTATAAATGAGCCCCTTTTATATAGGCCTTTTTAATAAGTGCCCTTGGCTGGAATCCAAATAAATCTCCCTCAACCTAAGGTCTGTTTTTGCTAGAGGAGGCCGTATTCTGGCAAAGGACCAGTGGGAAGAGCTGTGGGGTAAAGGAGAAAGCAAACCACTAAACCTGGAGGCAGCAGATTTGGGTCTGAATTCCTGCTCAGGAATCAATATGAACATTGTCACAGTATTTAACTCTTATGAGCAGCACTGTACTATGCTCTCAAGGAGGGGATAATCCCTGTGATATCTACAGCTCTCTCTCATAAGCCTCCAAAACCATCCACATCTCCCAGTGGAATAAAGCCCCGCAGTACCTACCTTAGAATTGACAGGTACTATACAGCTTTCCTAGCCACAGTGGACTCTCACATTTCTGCTCCTGCCAATAATTTGTTTTTTCCACACCTATTCATGCTAATTGTGCTTATTTTCACAATTAGGTAATTTAATAAACTATTAGCATAAGCAATCGAAATATGTATGCAAAAAGAATGTTGTTGGGTCAACAAAAGTTGGATGCTTTAAAAAGACTCTAAAACACTTCCTAAAAAACTAGGTATACATGAGACAACTTTAAATGATTGAGAAAAATTGCCCTATCTATACAGATTGCTTTGAAATTATTGCTCTCCTTAGAAAAAGAAAAGGAAGAAATTAACAGGAAATAAAAGACAATACATTACTAGTGGTGTAATGTAAGACAAATGATTTTGAACTTCAGTTAGCTGACATATAAATAAAGGGCTTTAGATAACTGAATAAATGTACATTTATATGTTTTAGGTTAAAACAAAATGTTTAAGATATCTTTTTTTTCAATTATGCAACCACACACTGGTCCCAACTAAGTCTCTGACTTCGTAGGACAACTGTAAAATTAAATGACAGAATGTGTAAAAGTGCTCTGTAAACTAAATGTGAAATTTAAATGTAATTTTTAATAAAACACATTCCACCAGACTTTAGTCCATTTGACAATACACACCAAATACGGAACAGGTAAAAAAGTAAATATTTGAGAAACTCGTTACCTACTGAGCACTTCCTTAGAATGTTACTAATGTAGCTAAATATTTATTTATAATATTGAAAAAAGAGTAGTCAAAAGAACAGACACACACTCAGTATGAGCTCTGGTTGGGATCCATTAAAAAGAAGCACAGGAGAAAAATATATTCGAGTCAGGATGGAGACCATAAACCTCAATTAATTGTTAACAAACAAAAATAACTGGTGTTCATGTTCAACCACTAAATAAATACATCTGACATTGCCTATTTGCCAATTTTTAAACTTGAGCTGTGCTCCCACCTTGGCTTCCACAAACTGTGGGTCTTGGCCACAGGAGAGCAGGCAGTGCAGCACCGCCATCTTCTCCCAGTCCGGCCGGGTGTGCCAGAGGGACTGGAGTAAACGGGACTCGTTCAGGAGCACTCTGTAGAGCTTTCCAGAACACGAATCCAGTACCAGGGACCCTGACAGCGATTGCAAAGGACTATGAGGTAGCATATCGATCACATCATTGCTTCCTAGCCAAAAACAAACAAACAAACAAATAAATAAAGACCGACAAATAATAGGAACCCCTCTCACCCAAACATAACCACTAAAGTCAAAACAAATCCAAATGAACCATGTTCATGAGGGAAAAACTAGAGCCATACCTGTCAAAAACAGACTGTGGCAGATCAGATCTGGATGTTGAATGTTAAGTAGATGAAAGAAATGACCAGGTAAGTAAACAGCTATGTAGTATTCTGTAGAAGAGAAAGATTTCAGTCATCTACATGTGGTAGGAGCTATGCAGGTACAAAGCCCCGAACTTCACAGTATCCCTACTTTTTTTAATCTGTTAAAACACAAAAGTTTTGATCAATGTGATAATAAGCTATTCGATGTTGGTGCATTTCATATTACTTGCAAGATCTCATTTATTTCTTCTGTGGCTAATTTTACTCAGACATTTAGCCATGGTTACCTTAATTTAATCTGTAGTTTTGTTTCTAAGTGAATTGTGGCTTTATATGTATCTAAATGATCTTTGAAAGCAAATTAAAATAGAAGATATTAAGCAACATGAATTATTCCTTAATCTGACAAACTGGGAATAGCTTATAATGGGAATTTCCTTCACAGTTTCTGCCAGTTTGGGGATGCTCTAAATAATTTAGTTTCATGTAATTATCTATTCATCATTGTCATCATAGTCATCCTATCACTGCCACCATCATTATTGTCATCATCATCATCATTTTGTTTAGAGAACTCTTAAATTGATGTTCATCAAAACATAATCTCTGCAGGCATTCTGACACTATATGAAGTACTAATTTATTTCCTTGCATATCTAGCTGCCTAGAATTCACCCCTTCATGGTCCCTGTACTAGATAATTTTGTACCAAGAACACTTGTACATAGATTGAACCAAGGTATAAAAATAGATTTCTGGAGAATGGGAGGGTAGAAGTACCAATAGTTTGTCTAGGATCTGAGGAAAACAGATATTCACATGATTGTAGTGAATTTCATACAGATGAAACATTTAGATTATAAGTGAGCCAGCTGGAATCTTATTTTCCAAAGAAGCAAAGAAATATGTGCTAATCATTTGCACAGAAGGCATCTGTGCAAAGTAAAGGGAAGAGGATGTAAGACTCTAACCAGTCACCACAGAGCAAGTGATGCTAAAATGCTTAAGTAGGGTACAGAGGTAAGGGTTTGGGCATCAAATGACCTAGGTTAACCAGTTAATTAGGATAGTACCCTGGCCCTGGGGGAGGGGGCATTTGGAAATATATTGGAAATGTCTTAGGTTGTCACAGTCATTGGGGTGGAGGGGGATTCCTATTGCCATTTGATGAGTGGGCTCCAAGGATGTCAATTAAATCCCTCAGTGTGCTCTCACACAAAGAATCATTGTCTCACCGAAAATGTCAATAGTGTCTGTGGTAAGCTGAATGATGGCCTCCAAAGACATTCGTGTGCTAATCATCAGAGCCTATGAATATGTTACTTTGAGTGGTAAAAGGGACTTTGCAGGTATGATTAAGGACCTTCAGATGGGAACAGTATTCTGGATTATCCAGTGGACCCAATGTAATCACAAATGTTTTTCTAAGAGGAAGATTTGACTACAGAAGAGAAAAGCATATGATAAGAGAGCCTGAAGTAATGTTGTCACGAGCCAAGAAATGCCATAGGGAGCAAAGAACCTTTTTTCCCCTGGCATCTCCAGAAAGAGCCATTTCTGTCCACATGCTGATTTTCACTCCTCAAGGCTCATTTCAGAATTCTAACCTTCAGAACCCCAAGAGAATGTTTGTGTTGCTTTAAGCCCTAAATTTACAGTGATTGGTTACAGAAGAAATAAGAAACTAAAATAGTGCCCCTGATAAGAGACACTATTTTAGAAGACACTTCTTTTAGAGGAAGCCTGGGCACATCTCTCAGCCCTTCTGAGCCTCAGTTTTTTCATTATCATCACCAAGCAAAATTATTGTCATAATAAAGATAACTTAAATAAAACAGCATATAGTATTCACTTTTCTAAAGGGAAGATTTTTATTTATAAACACATCTTTCTTATATAGTGGTGCTTGGGGGTTCATTAAAAATTTCCCCAAAAACTCTATTTTTAAAAATGTTTCAGTTAATCTAAGCCACTTTTAACAGAGCAGCAATTCAGGGAAATTGCAGGCAATTAATAGCAAAAAAACACATCACTCAAAAAGCCAATATTGTTGGCATAAAAATTACCTCAAGAACAGTTTTGACTGGATACAATTTTGTGCCTATAAAATGTGTCTAAGGAGGAAAGAAGACCTGTGGAAGAGCCTCTTTTCACACAGCCCTTGTATTTCTGCCTTCTCCACATTCTGAATACCACAGATTAAATCACTCCTGCCTTTCAAGAGTCATTCCTGAGGCTAAAAAAAGGGAAGGATAACTTTGACCTCATAAAATGCTGCTTTTTAGTGGAAAGTTTCCCATATCACTCTTGCGATGGATGCTGATAAGAATAAAGTCTCAAGAAATCTTGTACCTATCTCTTACTGCAGGAAGCAGTAGCACCAGGCCTCCCTAAGGCTATTTCCCACAGTTCAGAGCTCATGACAAAATCTGGCACATACTGGCCCACTCAGCATAAATTATCTCACCTCACCAACAGTATTCTTCCAAATAAAAATCTTTTTATAAGCATTCTTATCAATTTTGCCCAGTTCCCTCACATCACATCTTCCTAAACCTTTGTCACATAGCTTTTCCTTTTTAAATGTTGTGCCATGGTCCATATGTAAGCAAGCAGCAGTTCTGTTGTTCAGCCTTGTGCTAAACTCTTTGTGCGCCACATCCCAATTAGCATGGAAAAGCCACTTTCAGGAGAGAGATACGATAAACCCCTTCTTTATTTTCTTCCTCACAGTCTCCCTTCATGCAACTCAAGTTCCCTTTACCATATTTACTCAATGAAAAACAACTCACTCAAGCTGATCCATAAATCAATTGTGGGACTGGAAGCTTTTAGCAATTAGCAACAGGGGATAGACAACTTCCCAAATGTCTTTGTCCTCTCTAGAATCAAGGGCCAACATGATGTATTCTTTCTCATAGACTTTTAGGAAGCATCTCATCCATTATCATCATTTTTATACTAACAAAATGATTTTGATGATTGCTATTGAGAACATAAGAAAGCTCACCGTGCAGGTTCTCTAAAAAGAGAAATGCATTCCTCACCCAAGACCCCCATCAAGGTTAATGGAGTTGGGGGTGGGGGTTGTTTCCAGAGAAAACCTTCACCTATCGGGCTTCACAAAGGTCAGTGACTGTCACTGCAGTCCAAGTCCCAAAGAGGCATGAGAAAAAATGGTGCACGGAGAAGGAAATGAGATATAGAAGGCTGAGGCATAACATGTACTGGAGGGAAGGATCAGAGAGATACCACTCTCTATTACTCACCAAGGTTAAGAAAAGTAATGCCCTTTGTCATCCGTGACTGAGCACTCCCACGAGCAACGGTGAAGGTCTTGCTGTAGCCTGTGGAGAGAGAACATGAAGCGAGACAAAGCATGTCGAGAAACAAAGAGCTATTATTCCACCTAAGGCAGTGACCCTATGTAATACTCTCAACATTTAGCACCTGTGACACTGGCCGAGCAAGCACCTTTGACTTCTAGATTTCATGGTTCCCCATCATTCTCCAAAAGCTGGCATTAAGGGTGGATGACCTCAGTGCAGTCTCATTCCAGATGTTCTGGGCTTAGGTATAATCTTAGACCTTAACAGGTAGGTTGTACTGGAAGGGAACGATCTAAAGTAAGGTACTTAGGCATCCAACAGGGGGAGGAGACTAGGTGGCTCACACTCCTGAAAAATTAAGACCCTCGGAGACTTCTCTGAATCATTTTTGTAATTCCACTTTGAGTTATCAAGGTATTAGACTATCTACTAAACTCAACGTATTAGGCTGCACTCTCCACTTTTCTAACTCTTATTCATCTTCAGAAAAGTTTTATTTACTGGTTTTAATAATTAGAAAAATGTGTGAAAGTTTCCCACAACATATCAAACTTACACCATTAAAGCATGTATGTATGTCCAGTTAAGTTACTTTTATTTTCTTCTTTATTAAGTTATTAAACTTTTCTTACTTTGATCTCTAACTTCTGAAGGAAATATTAGGCACACTTGCAGAATAATAAATTTGTGTGGCCTGGCATAATATTTTTTCAATTTTGAAAAAAAATCCATCTTTAAAAAATTTTACCTTCACCTACAGTATATACTACATAAGTACCAAAGTTTAAGGAACTAAATAAGCAGTATAAATACTCCTTAGCATGGTTCAGACTAAAACTATTAAAGGACACACTGTGACCACCTACAGATTTGAGAAAGATTGGACACTTCACTCCTGCTCCCCAGGCTGACTGTTGACATATCAGTTTTTGGGGTCACAGATGGGTGAAATGAAATAAACATATCTTAGGTCTAAGAACTGTTAAGGTCTGAGATCATGGAAGCTTTTAACTAAAACCTTAGTTATCTTTGTAAGTTAAATCTATTGACTTTTTGCAACTAGTAATAACAAAACAAAGCAAACAAACACACTTTGGACAAATACGTCCATTAGTATTGATCTATAGACCTAGAAAAAGATATAGATCAGGATAAAAAGCATACAGTATATAAAAATATTTAGCTAACTTAATATTCATTGCTAGCAAACTTCTTCAGAAAGCATTTATTATATAGGTATACATGTATACAATGTACTTAACAATACTAAAATCTATCAAATTTGCTACTGTTTGGAAAAAGTGATTACGTAAAGGTAAAACACAAAATAAATGAAAAGTACCTTTATGAAAGTAAAACACTGAATATGTGATTGGTTCCTGAGAGTCGAACTTCGGGCTGTAACACACACATAAACTTCCTAGAAGTGAGAAGGTATTTAGTATAATCATAAACAAATAAAGAGATTCCTAACCCACTTAACCTTTCTTGTATTCCTTTAGATGTCTTAACTTCAATTTACTTCATAGGTTATTCCCAAATTCTAGAAGTGGTCTATTAACAAGTTGCTGAGAAATTTCAATTCAACCATTACTCAGCACACACTATAAGCAGTGTATTGTGGTGGGCTTCGAGGGGAAGGAAAAATGAATAAGGACACATTCCTGTGTATGAAATCAGGGGAGAATAGAGAAGTTTGCAAAATTTCATGAGATTCTCCTAACATACATGCACTGCCCTGCCCTCTCATCCAGCTTGCCTTCCAGTTATTACTAATACCTATAGACCTCAGTTTATCAAAAATGTGTCTCCTCGCTACAGAAAGTTTTTAGTCTTCTTATTTATGTAGAATAAAAGGCAGACTGTGACTATTTTTAATGACATTTAAGACAGCAATATATTTAGAAGTACATTTTATTATAATATCTTAAACAGAAAATAAACAGAAAAGAATAACTTTATCAGATTCTGTTAGATATAAAATTACTGTTATGGTTACTGAGTAAACAATGATATAACTGTTCTTTAAAATTATAGCAGACACACTATGAATAAAAATAATGCTATATTAAAGCATAAACAAAAATAATAATTATAAGAGTTAGAAAAGTCCCATGTAGCACTTTAACTACTTTCACATAATAAACATAATACCAGCAAAAAAACAACTGGTTTATCCTGTTCTTTTATGTTCCATGATCACAAGGAGAAAGAAATTTTTAGTCAACATAGTTAAAACTTCAGCCTTTCTAATAACGAAGAAATAAAAACAAAAACAAGGCACCATATTTTTCCTTTCAAATTAGTTAAGTTTTAAAAACAATAATCAATTCTATCAAGGGAATAGTATAAAGAGCATTCTCAATAGTAGTGAAGGAGTGAACTAGCACAAACTCTCTGAAAAATAGTTTTGCAGAGGATTAAAGAGAGTCATACTGTTGATCCAGTAATAATTTATTTAGAAGTCCATCCTGAGGAATAAACATGAAGTGTTTATATCAGGATGTAAGGAAGATCACAACCTCCATTCTAGCAAAATCCCCCACACCCCATCCTTTAAAGAATGAATTTTATTGTTTTCCTTTTTTTGAAAAAAGTTAAAGATATAGAATAAAAGTACCTAATTACATACATTAAGAGCCATATTCTGTCTCATAAGCAAATATTTCCATATAGGTTATAGCTTAGCTCCCCCTCTCAATTCCAAAAGAAAAAAAAAAACGGCAAAGTGAAGTGGGGTGTGCACAAGCACTACAAAGCTACTCCATTCATCAAATTTTCTTTGATAATGTAAATGTTCTGTATCTGTGCTACCAATATCATAGCCAGCAGCCACACTTTAAATGTTGCTAGTGTGACTAAGGAACTCCCTTTCCTTTTTTTTCACTTTAATCAACTTAAACTTTAGCCACATGTGGCTAATGGCTGCCATATGGGACAACACAGCTCTGGAGCATCAGTTCTCAACCCTAAAAGTACATTCACTTAACCTGGGCTCAGAGCTGCCCCGGCCCCCTCTTAGCCCAGCTAAATCAGACTCTTGGGGCGTGAGACCCAGGCATCAGTATTTTCTAAACTTGCCTGTGGCAAAGTAATTATATTCTTTAAGCCTCACTTTGCTCATCTGTAAATAAACAAAATATAGAACCCACTTTATATGGTTATTATGCAAGAATTAAGTGAGATAAAGGTTACCTGCTATTACTATTCCAGAATAGCTTTGGTGCTATTTACAAGTTAGGGAAAGTCACAGTTTGAAAAACAAAGCATGTTCTTATTGATGTATCCAGAGATGTTTAATAAATATTCATCAATGATCAAGATAATATCTCAAAGTTGGCTAGGCTTTGGGGAACCATTTGGACAATGAAAGCTATTATGGACAAAGTTTTCCAAGGGAAATTATCTCATTGTAAAAGGCTCTACAAAATGCTAAAACACAGGCCTAATTCTGGGAACTTGTGAAGGGCAATTCTTACAATTATATGAACAGGAAAGAGAATTTACGCTTTTCACCCTCACTACCTCCCAGTAGATGGTGCACAAAGAATTACAGCCACTGACTTAGAACACAAAAGAGTGCTCTTTCAGTACAGCTTCTAGGGTGATTATCAGCCAAGAAAGGAATGAGAATATTTTCTTTCCTTCATTGCTTTAGGGAGTCTCTGATTTACCCTCCTGCTATAAAAGATTTATTAGAAAAATCCATCTGAACCCCTAATCATAATACATACATGGCCTGACAGCAGCAGCAGCTTTGCCCCCCATCAACTCGCAGGAGCGCCCCCATCATCCAGGCTTAATCTCCAGTTCCTTGGAAGCTCTCAGATATCATTTCTTATGGCAGTAAATTCAGAACAAATGCCTCCCAAAATGTTAGAAGTAATGGTGACAGAGCAAATTAGCTCCCAATGACAAATGTGTAGCAAATGAACGTCAAATATTATTGTAACATCATCATTGATGTAAACAGTTAAAATAAGTTGAGTTTGTATAAGGCCCTGAGTCAACTGGCATTCCTTTCATGAATGATGTCTTCTGGAAAATGAACCTCTTATTATGGAGGCAGCCATGTAGAGAATAGCCTAGTTGCTTCCTTCTCCATTCCTACTTCACTGAAATAGTTTGTTTCTTTGTTTAATGACAAAGGTACAAGAATCACTTTTGAAAAGTAATTTGGAAAACACATGAACTGACAGTTTATTAGTCAAAAACCAAAAAAGGTTGCTTCTCTGTCATGTCTCAGCTTAAATCTGGAAGCATCCCACTTGAAACCAGCTTACTTTTTCTATTTCAAAGCTGACTGTGAAGAGCAAGGCTCATTTTCTACTTTCCCAGACACTGCTGAGAAAGGAAAACAAATTCCCATCTCATGCCAGATAATCCTAGCATTTTATTAAATAAGATATGTCATAGGTAGCCTGTTTATAAATTATAGCTGCTAATATTCATGAGACATTCCTATGGGAATAAAATGAAAAGGAATAAAATCGTCATAGAATAAAAGCCTAAAATGGTGATATATGTCAGTAAATGGCATCACTGTTCACCTATTTGCTTATGCCAGAAATCTGAACACCATTCCTCTCAATCTGATTTATAGCAAATCTTCTTAGTTTCATCTCCAAAATGCATCTCAAACCCATCCAGTTCTCTCTATCTTTATTGATTGTACATCCTGTAGTTTAAGCATGATGCTTAAACTCCACCTCAAATGTATGATGACAAACTCATCCTAACGTCTCATCTCTCTGATCTTTCTCTTGCCTTCTCCAACCCATTCTTCACACAGCAGCCACACTAATCTTTTAAAACTACATGTTTAATCATGTCACTGTCCACTTCAAACACTTCGGTGAAGGAGTATCAGTGAATCCTAAAACCGACAGGTGAAAACTTATTAAGGAATTGGATAGTCACATGATGCCAAACTATCACCTCACAGATTACTAATGCAAAGTTAAAATGTACCATTATAAGGAAGACAGACAGTGGTTACCACTTAATCACAAATATTGTGACATCCTGACATTATATGACTCCTGCTCAGATGCAAGTAAAGTTTACAATGTCACCCATGAAGTATCCCTACCAAAAAATGTTTAACCTAAATCTAACTCCCTTTAGGACTAAATTCCAGTGTACGGGAAATGTAGAAATAGAGGAAAAAATTGAATAACTCCACAAGAAAACATTTAAACAAATCCAGAATGTGGGCCATTGCACAAGGCAAATCGTCTGGACTCTTCAAAAGGTCAAATTTGTGAAAAGAAAAAAAAAAGGGCAGGATAGGAAGTGGGCATTGGTTTACACTAAAAGAGACTACAAAAACAAAGCTGAATATAATGCACGAATTTGATGGGATATTGACTTTAAAAGTCATATATATATATACACATATATTTATTTATATGCATATACATATCTACATACACACATATTTTGAAATCATTGTGAAAATATGAATATGAAATAGTTTACTAATTCTTTCAGTGATGATGGTATTGAGGTTATATAAAAGCGTATTCTTAACCTAAGGAAATACATGCTGAATTATTTAGTGGTAAATTGTCATGATGTCTACAACTTACTTTTAAAAGGTTTAGTCAAGCCCTGGCTGGTGTGGTTCAATGGACTGACTATAAACCAAAAGGTTGCTGGTTCGATTCCCAGGCAGGGCACATGCCTGGCTTGTGGGTCAGGCACCCAGTAGGGGGCACAAGAAGCAACCACACATTGATGTTTCTCTCCCTTTCTTTCTCCCTCCATTCCCCTCTCTCTAAAAATAAGTAAATAAAATCTTTTTAAAAATTATTTTTAGAAAAGGTTTAGTCAAAAGGAAGAAAACGGAACCTATATGTGGGGAGAAAAATGAAGCAAATACTGTGAATGATATAACTGTTTAAGTAAAAGGCACATGGATATTCATTGTAACCTTGAATTTTTCGGTATGCTTGAGCATTCTCAAAATAAAATATCACAATAAGAACAAAAAGCCCTTTAGTGACTTCTCATTACTCTTAGGATGAAATCTAAACTCTTTCCATGGTCTACAAGGCCTTACATCATCTGATCTCTTCCTACCTCTTCAGCATCCTCTTGCATACTCACCCCTGTATCCTCTCAACTTCAGACACACTGTTCTCAGCTCATATATATCCTTCAAGTGTTAGGTGTAATATTGCTTCCTCTCCTAAACTCCCCAAGACTGGGTAATTGAGGGACTCATGTGGCTGAGAGAGACTTGGGATGAACAGAGGAAAAACGGGATGAATTATGAAGGAGTGACATGGGAAAGGGAGCAATTTTTATGACTATGAAGAGGACAAGACAGGATGTCTTGGAGAGAGGGAAAACAGAGATGGACTGGCTGAACTGGAACATCTTCCATTAAACTCCCATCAAATGTTCTCACAGCTT